CAGAACATGGACATGAAGATCAAAGACCAGAAGAATCAAAATCTGCAATGGAAAAGAACTGCCATGAACAGTCCTTGGCAGCCAACATCGAGTATTCCATGGGCTTACCAGAGGCTCGTGCACTGGCATTGACCTGTGAACTTTGTCAACATCGAATGCAGACAGTAGCTGATCTCCTCCTACTTACAAGGTAATACTTCTTTGTTTACAATTCAGTTTGAGGAAACTGTCGAAATTACTGTCCACCATTACAAAATGCATGTAAGTTTCATCTCTAAAACTAATCACCATATTTCAGAGGAAACTGGTACTGTGGGTCTGCACCAAATTCCATAATGGTCTTTTTTAATATAATCTCTTCTTTTTAAGTCCCTTAGGTCAAACTCGTTACAGTAAAGTTGCAGAGAGCATAACCCTATAAGCAAATATTCGTATGAGTACTCCAAATTGGCAAAATTTCTACCACCGCCATATTCTGCTTTGTGTATCACTTCAAGAACAGTCTGTCCAAAAAAGATTTTTTTCTTATAAACTGTGCAATGTCGTGTACTGATCCTCACTTCTGCTTCATATTTCAGAAGTACCTAGTTCCAGCTCCATTTGGGACCCAATTATCTTAATGAAACTGTTCATGTGACTGTCATAGTATACATTACAATAGGCTATAAAACAAATGCATTTATATTTTCCAATATGCACAATGCAGATGGAATAGAGAACATTAAAAAAAGGTGACCAGTGGTAGGTTATTGTGAACATAACAATGAACCTTCATGTTCAATAAAAGGTGGGGAATTGACTGCTGAGTAAGAATATATAAGCCTCTCTGCTCCATGTAGTTAGTTAGTTAATGAGCAGAAAGAACTTCTGATACAGAAAACCTAACACTATCCAGAAAGTTGAATCAAATAATTGTGACATATTATCACAGCATAAATTTCTGAAAATTATTTATTTCAGACTGCCGTCATCACAGTACACATTTCAGTTGGCAAATCTGTAATCTAGTAAATCTATTGATATAAATGAGAGAAATAAGAGTAATGAGAACATCTTATTATCTTTAGTGATACAAGACCAGTAAGAACAGCTAGTCTGTCAGTATTTGGAGAGAGCGTAGCTCGATGTCGAGAGACAGTTGCATCTCGAACCAGAGGTCTTACTGTTCTCCTTCGCGACTTGGCAGCTCTAATTCATCGAGACACAGCCACAGGTATCCAAGAGGTACAGCATGATATAATTCTATTCTTTTAAACAAAGTGTTTACAATCGTGGCACTTCATGTCACTACGTAAACATCTGGCAATAATGAATAATGTACGTACAGATATCCCAAGAATTTAAAGAACTGATAAATTTAAATATATAAAACTGAATATATTTCCAGCAACAATGTGTCTATTTGCTCTTAACATGGAAATAGTTGGTCCAGTTTCAACCAATACTAATTTAAAAAAATACTGAAATATGGCTGGTCCACTGTCTGTAAAAAGAACCCTAAAAAATTGTGATGGACTCCAATCCTTGCATAGTTTTTATATAACATTCTGCATATAGGAAATAATGATTTTCTGCCAGATCATGCTGCATCACTTACTCAGAAGCTGTTCTGATACATCATTATATATTTTTTTCTAGTCACTATTATAAGACATCATGTGATACACACTCGTATTATGAGACTGCCAGCCAGACTTTATCTCCAAGATTATTGGTTTTGCAGTTGTACAGTTGGACTGCATGTAAACTTTGATGCAAGAACAGTAAGTGCTAAGGTACACCTGCTGAAAATCACTTGTTACAACGCAATTATCATATGCGACAGATCCGGGTGTGCATTGAGGAGATCTGTGACCTGGTGGTGTCACTGACAGAGTGCTGTGCACATGCAGGCTACCTATTAGCTGTGCTTCAGGATGGTAGCTGCCCAGAGATTCCTGGACCAGTTGATCGATATCAACTCTGCAGAGCTGCAGCTGAAACTGAACACAAGACAGGCCTATTGAAGACCTACCGACTACGTACTGTCACTGCTCTGGTATGTATTATCCATGTAATCCAAGTTCAATCACCTTCATCCTTGAGGTCAACTGACGTTTTAGACAAATAATAATAACAGCTTGAGGTTTAAGCAAGATAACTTGTAGCACAGCCTAAGCACTCAACAAGGAAGCCATGTTTATATTCATTACTTTACATCCACCTACTCACCATTCATGAGCAGATTTTCACCTCGTAAGATTTGAGGTTTTCACAGCGGTGAGTATGAAGATTTCTGTCTTCTGGGTTGTTGCGCTGTGTAGTCTGGTCGATGTTAACCAACGTTTCAGAGGTCATACTGCCTCCGTCATCAGGGCGAT